GGGGAACCCCTGAGAACTGTCTGTCCGGGGTGGGGGTCGGGTCCCTTTAAGCACAACCCTCGGCTAGCCTGAGACAGCAGCTCCATGCTCTAAGTCCTAATCTGATGCCCTGCCGGCACTGCTTCCGGCCAGCCTTAACCTCGGTTCAGAGTCCACTCAATGTGGACATGCTAGTTCGAATTATCAAAATGCTAATTCGAACTAGTTTTTAGGTCTAGATGCACTAGTTCGAATTAGCTTAGTTCGAATTAACTAATTCGAATTAAGTTAGTTCGAATTAGTGCTATAGTGTAGACATACCCTAAGAGATCATTAATCTTTGTCATACTACATTTTTCACGTGTATGGTCTCATTTTTTTAAATGTGTGCTTGAAGGTTTTTCTTTTTTGCTTCTTTAAATCCTAAATCCTAAATCCTCAACTCCCATCATCTTACTTAATAAGATCTAATGTAAGGAAAATAATAGCCCGGCACTCCCAAACTTACAAGCTTTTAATTTATTTAGCATAGGCCATGTTGCTCATCAACTCTGAGTTATATGATTTTGCATTTCTGCGGCATATGATTTACAACAATAAAAGGGAGATAACTTTGTTATGTGTGGGGATTAAATGAAAGGTATGAAGGAAAGGCAATTATATGAGTAGAAAACCAAATTTAAATAACTGTTGTAATACATGCATTTAGAGGACTGACAGGAATGGAAACCAGGCATACAACTATGAAAATTAATTCATCAAAAGTGCCTTTTTCTCTTTTAATCTTCCAATGGGATAGATGCCTCTTTTTTCCCTGCTCACGTTTGCCTTTTATGTGTCCTATATTGTACTAATTACTCTGTTGGGATTATTATTGAAAAAGTAGAAGTAAAAATGTAAAAAAACAGAAGTATTTTCCCTAAACACACAAAGATGAAAAATATAAACAGTTTAAAGAAAAATACCTGCAACATATTAATGTATTTTCTCTTACTGAACCTAATGATGCTAAAGAGGAATATTTTCTTTTTCTTTTTCCTCCCCCTCCTTATATTGCTTTCTTGATAGTTTTCTCTCACACCCTTGAAGATATTAAAAAGATAACAAGGGAGCTCAGACTTATTCCTTTAAATCAGATGAGGTAATTATATTCTATCTAAATAAAAATCCTCAACAGTTTCAACTGAAATACTAACGCTTTCTTCCCTTCCATTCCTCTACAGCGATGGGTCTTCTTTCACCAGTGAAATTCAGCCAACACCCAAACCTGCAAGTACTTACGCTTGTGAGTCACTTTACGCAACACAGGTAATCCCCGTGATTTTAATGGGGCCCAGGCACAAAACAAGCTTGAACTAGCTAGAGACAAAAAGAGTAACAAGAAAACATTCTACAAATACATCAGAAGCAAGAGGAAGGCCAAACACAGCGTAGGCCCATGACTCAAGGAGATGGGAAAAACAATAAACAGAAAATGTGGAAATGGCAGAAGTGCTTAATTACTTTTTTTCTTTCAGTTTTTACCAAAAAGGCTAACAAATGCCAGTGAAAATGTGATAGGATCAGAAGCTAAAATATGGAAAGAACATGGTAAAAATTACTTAGACAAGCTAGATGTCTTCAAGTCATCACCATGGCCTGATGAAATACATCCTAGGAGCTGATTGAGGAGATATCTGAGCCATTAGCGATTATCTTTGGAACGTCATGGAAGACAGGAGAGATTCCAGAAAACTGGAAAGGGGCAAATATAGTGTCAACAAAGCAACCCGGGCTATTACAGACCAATCAGCTTAACTCAGTACCTGGAAAGATAATGGAGCAAATAATTAAGCAATCAATTTGCAGAAACCTCGAAGACAATAAGGTGGTAAGTGACAATCAGCACAGATTTGCCAAGAGCGAATTGTGTCAACCAACTTAAGGGCATGTCTACACTAGGAAATTATTTCTAAATAATTTATTTTGAAATAATAATTCCCAAAATAATAATTTCCAAATAGCATGTTCACAATACCGGGAAGCCTCAAAATTAGTCCGAGGCAGGCTCCCTTAATGTGGATGCACTAACTTGACTTAGACCTGTAGGAAGCACTGGGGAGTGATTACTTTGACTTTGGGGAGTAGTTATTTCGAAATAGCAGCCGTGGAGTTTCTACATTACTGCTATTTCAAAATAACTATGTCGAAATAAGAGTTATTGCTCCTGGAAAGCAGGAGTTATTATTTCAAATTAATAATTTTGAAATAACGGGCCTGTTAATGTGGACGCTCCACTTGTTATTTCAAAATAAGGGGAGTTATTTCAAAATAATTCCCCAGTGTAGATCAGGGCTAATAGTTTTCTTTGATAGGGGTAACAAGCCTTGTGGAGAAAAGTGGTAGAGGTGATAAATCATGAGTTTAGAAAGGTTTTTGATATCGTCTCACATGACCACCTCATAAACAAACTAGGGAAATACAACCTAGATGGAGCTACGATAAGATGGATGAATAGTTGTTTAGGAAACCGTTCCCAGGGAATCGTTTTTAGCAGTTCATAGTCAAGCTGGAAGGGTATATCAAGTGAGGTGTCTCAGGGATCAGATATGTGTAGCGCGTCCCTCTCCACTTGGTTACCTTCTTTAAAGCCAATCTCCTTACAGGTTTTGATGGATAGGTCTGGGTTCTTCTGGATCCCGCCACCCACTCAACTTTATTTTTTCTGATGGATTTATTTGGCGGTGCCTCCACCCCCCTCACTCCTTCCTGGCAGGGTCACCAGGGCAGCTTGGGAGGAAAATTCTAGCCCAGGGTAATCCCCATGTATTTGCCAACTAGTTGGAGACTCCCAGAAAATAGCACAAACACATACACTATAATAAACACAAGTATATTAAACAGGAGACAAATATAACAGAACAGGGTAAAACACTCTTTTTAGGGTCACCGGTGCCAGCAACTGTAAGATCAGTTTCCCGTTCGTACGCGTACTTTGTTGGG